TTCTTTCATGCATTTGTTTCTAATGCATTTATAAGATTATTTCTTTGTTGCTTTGTATGTCCCTCCCCCACAGTATAACCCCTGCTTCCACTATATTTGATGTCGGTATAACTTGCGGAGGAGATGGGGAAAAACAAGTCGTTTAAGGATACAGGTGGACCTGATGCAACAATGAGAAGTACAAGTTGTCATGTTGAAAACGAGCTTTACAACATTGTGGGGGGAGGCTGGGAAGGGTTGTGAAGGGTAAACAAAGGAGAAGGCTGCAATGCTTGAAAAATGTACGCATTATCCTGCCCATGTAATTGTAACCCCTCTGTATAGTATGATCACAAAATAAAATAAAATAAAATGAAAGAAAAAAGAAAATACTAAAAATAAAATAAAATAAAGAAATACAAAAACAAAGAAATCAAGGTCTTTATCTTAATGAATCTAAACACAAATTAGGATGTAGTAAATGATAGTTGTAGTTGAGTGACTAGAGCAACAAAAAAAAAAGCAAATCCTGGGACTGGGAAGGTGGCTCAGTGGTAGAGCACTTGCCTTGCATGCCTAAGGCCCTGGGTTCGTTTCCTCAGCACCACATAAGCAAAAAGAATAAAAAGCCGGAAGTGGCGCTGTGGCTCAAGTGGTAGAGCGCTCACCTTGAGCTGAAGAACTGAGGGACAGCGCCCAGGCCCAGAGTTCAAGCCCCACGACTGACCAAAAAAAAAAAGTTTCTGACATGCAAATGACTAGCAAAGTTGGGAACTCATCTTTCCATCAGCTACAACAACAAAAACAGCAGTGTGGCCCCATTGCTCTTTCTCTCTGCCTTATTACCACTAAGACGCTGGCTGTATCTCTATCAAGCTTCAGTCCTACCTTGCTTCATACCCCCTTTACCCTCTTTCACTAAGCAGACTCATCGGCCAAGACCAACCTAACCTACCAACGCTGACTCAACTGCTTCATCTCTTCTTGAAGCTCCCTCTCAGAAATGTTTTTCCAATTACTCCTGGGCTTCTTAACTCACTGAGGTAAATACATGAACTTAACTATTATGGGGGGTAACCATACCAGGAGAGTAGAACCCTCAAGAATAAATAAGGTCTAATGAGGAGACGAACTGTTGGTAGGGAGGTAAAGTAATGCAGCCATTATGGAAATCAGTATGGAAGTTTTGGAAGAAACTGAAAATAGGGTTATAGAATGAGCTAGACCACTCCTGAGCATTAACTATGAAAGAATCTAAGGCAGCATACAGCAGAGATACTTGCACACCCTTGTTTATGGGAGCATTATTCATAATAGCCATGTTATGGATTCATAGTTACTAAGTTCAGAATCATCCTAGATGCCCAGCAACAGAGGATTGAATAAAGAAAATGTGATACAGGTACATAATAGAGTATTACTCAGCCATTAAGAGAATAAAGTGTCTTTTGCAAGAAACTAGATAGAACAATAGACCCTTCTGTTATATAAAATAAGCCAAGCACAGAAAGACAAATGCTGGGTGGGAATGTGAGTTAGTGGAATGTGGAATGTAACTTTACATGCATGCTCAGTACCACATAAGCATCAATAGGCAGTGCCCAGGCTCTGAGTTCAAGCCCCAGGCTTTGCAAAAAAAAGGAAAGACAAAATGCTATATTTTTTCATATGCTAAATCTAGATCCATAAATATAAGCAAAAGGATGTGACCCTGGGGAGAAGACTCGAGATGAAGGACCAAGAGGTGGATGGACCAAGGAGAGTAATAGGAAAATGAAGGGCAAAGTCCATTCTCTGTATGTGTGAAAATGTCATCATGAAATCATTGTTTGGTACAATAAATACATAGTAATTTTTATTCTTTCTTAGTGCTGATAAATACCAAACAATATCCCTTGAATAAATTAGGAAATTTTTTGTGTGTATCTTTTCTTCATTAAAATATGAAAATACATACACACACACACACACACACACACACACGAATAGTCTTAGTTCCGTAGTAAGAAAAAAACAAGAGAAAAAAATTAGCTTCAGAAGCAGGGGTGTAGGGGGAGGGAGGAGTTGGGGAGGTGGGGAGGGAAAGGATGGTAGGGGAAAAACAAAGGAGGGGGTAACAATGCTTGATAGGAAATGTACTCATTACTTTACTCATGTAACTGTAACTCTTTACAATAAAAATATGTATTTAAAAAATTCTCTTTTACTTACATGTGAATGCAACCAGAAACAAACCAGGAAGCAAGCCCTTCTGTGACAATAGATTTGTCAGTACTGACCTAGATCACTAACTCACCAGCTAGCTATCAGACTATGAGAAATGAATCATTGTTTGAGATTTCAAGTATGTAGTGTTTTGTTACAGAAGTCCAAAGTACAATACTTCACTTTCACAATATGACTAATGAATCATAGAGCAAGAAAGCCCTGGTAGCTTGTGGAGAATATTTCATAAGCTACAAAAATGGCAGATTCTAGAACTATGTGACACACTTACTCCAGAGTTTCAGGGAATATGTTTATGGGTAATAGAAGTCATCCCAAAGGTAGAAGAGAAGAATCCTTGAACTCCAGATCAATCATATCTCCATGATGGACCAGGGAGATTTTAGATGTGTTTTGGCAACATCTCTCCATGTGGTATCATCAAGGTGGCCTTTGGTAAAAGGATATTCTTTCTTCTCATTGCAGCAAACTTAAACCAAGTATGTCATGAGATCAGGCCCAAGGGGCAGTTAGGAACTCAAAAGTGAAGAGTCCAGTAGACTGAGGTAAGAATTTGGAATTTGGACATGAAGGCCATATAAAGCCATCTAATTGTTTAGGAGAGAAATGAGATGGTGTGTATGTGTGAGTGTGCATATGTGTGTGTGCACAATGTGTGTCTGTATGTTTAGAGTATTTCAGTCATTTATTTTATTGGGGTTTTGGGGGGGATTCAGTCATGGGGTGTGAACTCTGGGCCTGGGCACTGTCCCTGAGCTCTTCAGCTGAAGGGTTCTACCACTTGATCCACAGCACCACTTTTGATTTTCTGGTGGTTTATTAGAGATAAGAGTCTCATGGACTTTCATGCCCAGACTGGCTTTGAACTGTGATCCTCAGATCTCAACCTCCTGAGTAGCTAGGATTACAGGCATGAGCCACCAGGGCCTAGCACTTTTGTTATTTTAGAGATGATTTACAATGGGGTTACATTTACACATGTCAGGTAATAAGTACATTTCCTTTCATACATTGTCATCATTTCCCTCATTCTCTCCCATTCCTTCCCTCTCATCTCCACCCACAAGTTGCATAGTTCACTTTAATCAATGTCCAGTGCACTCTACTGCTGTACTTTTTCACCCTTTTTCCTTGGATTCTGTGTCCCTCCCCCCCCCGCACCCTCCCACAGATGTATATGTGAATATACCCATTATATAAGGTAAAGAACACAGAGTCAGAAAAAGAAAAAACAGATTGAGAAAAATATTGTTTGTTTCCTTATCTTTGGAGTTCATTTCAGTAGGTATATTATTTTATATAAATATATAGAGGCATTTGGGTATTGTACTTTTGTAATTCTCTCCTAAGGCTATCTTCTTTTGGTCTCACTGTAAGATCTAGAATCCTATGTAATTTGCCCTATCCTAGTGTATTTTAAATCTAACATCTACATATCAGGGGGAACATGTGCCATTTGTCTCTCTCTGTTCTTAGTTTAACATGATTTTAGTTCCACCCATTTCCCTGCAAATGACATTATTTTATTTTTTCTAGTGGCTGTGTAAAATTCCCTTGTATATAGCTACCACATTTTTTTCATCCACTCATCTATGTAGGACATCTGAGTTGTTTCTGTATCTTGGTTATTGTGACTACTGCAGCAATGAAGCTGGATGTGCAGGTGTCCTTATCATAGTCTGGCTCATGATGCTCAGGGTAGATGCCAAGGAGTGACATGGCTGGGTCACAGAGAAGATCTATGTTTCGTTTTTTGAGGAACTTCCAGACTGCTTTCCAGAGTGGTTATACTAGTTTACATCCCCAGCAGCAGTAAAATAGGATTCCTTTTTGCCCACATCCCTGCCAGAACTTATTGTTGTTCAAATTCAAAATGTTGGCCAATCTAACTGGGGTAAGAAGGTATCTCAGGGTTGTGAGGTGAGAATGTTAACAAGGGTGACACTGATCTAATCAATACTCACTATACTCATAAACTGTTTTGTTGAATGGTAACTTCATTGCGTACCTTCTTAAAGATACTAAAAATATTCCCCCCAAAAGGACTTACCTACTACTATTGGAAGTTAGGAACTTAAATTCTTGCTTATGGTATAACAAACCACAAAGAAATGATCCCTCTAAACAACCCCTCCCCTCCAGAGAATAATTAAAAGAAGATAGACCCTCGTTGCTGATGTAAATATGAAGCATGCCCTGCATAGACAGGGGCAGGGCAATGAATGTTTCACTAAATGTCCCTTGGAGACAGATTTCAAAGAGGTAGCAGCAGCCATTTTAGTCACAGTCTGTTTTCTCTCATTTCCTGCTCCTCTCACAGAGATTTACCAAAGAAAT